TTTTTTTTTTGTCTTGAATTCTCTAAAGTATCCGCAGTCTCCAATCCCCTTTCCTCCCTTCCCCTCCGCAAAAAAAAATACACCACAAATTTCTCTTCACATTATTCATTTTAGCCATTTTTTTTCGAATTTTTTTTTTTTACAAAATAGCAGAAACAAAAAAAAAGCAACAACAGATGAACTTTTACAGTTACAACGCTAAAAAAATTTTTTTCTGTTTTTAGTTTAGATAAAGCATAAATTTTTTATGCAAAAAAAAAAAAAAAACTAAGAACAAACTTTGCAACTGAAAAGAATTTTATTTATTCAGTTTTTTTTGGGGGGAGACGAAGAAGGAGTTTAGGAGCTATGTCACCATAAAATTTATTTTACTACATGTTTTAGTTTACAGTATAAGCAAACGAGTAGTACAGAAAAAAAACTCAAATCAAATCAAATAAATAAACGAAAATTTGAGGAGCAAATATTTCTGTCAATTACAATGAAATTATTCATATAAATTATACAAATTTATTTCAGTTTTATTTCTTTTCTTATTTTCCTTTTCTTCCCCCACAAACAGTTTTTTATAAAATAAATTTAAATAGGAATTTTTTTTTCACTATTTTCCTCCATCTGCTCCTCCTTCTTCTTCTTCTTGTTCTTTTTCTGCTTCCAAATAAAGACCATTAAAAGTTAGTATGCAGTTTACTGGTTACTGAAACCATCTTTGCTGTTGCTGATGAGATTTGCTGTTTGAATTGTAAACGATATGTATTTTTATGAGCAAAAATGATGAGAAATGTGAGTGAGTGAATGAGTAAAAAGAATAAAAAGAAAAAAGATTTGACTTTAAGTAAAGATGTTTCGTGAAGAAATTGAAAATTAATTGCCATGGGAATAGTAAACATCAATCATATCAGATTTAGCATTCCTTTATAACATTCACAAATGTAAAACAATATTAAATTTGAGGGCAAAAACTTTTTGCGGTTAACCTCCTCGGAGACCAATCAAAAAAGTCAATACATCTATCTATCTGTCTATCTATCTAACTGTCTATCTACCTATCTATCTATCTATCTATCTATTTATCTGCCTATCCATTCACTCGTCTAGCTATCTATCTATCTATCTATCTATCTATCTATCTGTCCGTTTGTCAGCCTATTCGTCCAAGCAGTACAGGCAGCTGAAAATTTTTAGCAGTTTTTGCTTTATTTCAACAAAAATAATCTCTGTCTATTTTCATTTCCAGCATCGAAGCATCTAACCTTATTGTCTAATACGTTTTCGGATAACCGAAAAAAAAAAGAAATACAGCAGCTAAACAATAAAACAAAGAAAAAAAGAACAACAGAGAAACAATAAAACTAGTGAAAACAATTTATTTTCATACACTATTTCCTAAAAAAATTTTTTTAGTATTTTTTTGTCTCTTTTTGGTCAACAAATCTGTGAAAATTTTGAACCTAAAAACCACTGTTACAGAGGAGAGCCAAAAATGAGCAGTAAATGGTAGAAAAATTTTTTGATAAACTTTTGGTCTACATAACACCAAAACTAAACCTGCTATCCTGACTGCCGTATCCGGAACTGCAGGTACTTTCGTCAAGACTTTTTACTCGAATTGATGAACAACGATCAACTGATGTATAGTAAAGGTCGTTGGGTGGCTTCGTTGCAATTAGGTGATTTATTGATGGACGCCGCCGTGAAATCCACGGATTTGTGCGGATTCTCTGCAAACAGATTCTATTTTCCCTTTTCCTATTCTTTTTTTTTTCTATACTAGTTAAGTGCTGTTGTTTTTACGACTGCAGATCAACAGTGCGCTACTGAAATACTATATGCTAGATAAAATAAAAGAAAAAAATTTTCCAAATTTCCAAATTGACATTATACAATCAACGTCGACAGAAAATACATTAAAAGGAAAAAAAAGAGCACTCTTCTACCACTAACCATTGGTTCAGAACAATAAGAAGATGAAAATGCTTGTGAAAGCGATGAACATTTCGGTTGCAGCTGGTTCAGATACGTTCGTTCTACCGTTTCTTGCCTGTTCCAAGAATCCGGTACTCGACCTATTGTATACGAACGATAATTAAGCATAAATCCACATCAAAATTTTGGTTTATACAGAAGCAAAAAAATATATATATTAAACCAATTTTCTTCTTTCGTTTTTAAATAGAATTAACTAAATCCTTGTCTTTTTTTTTATTTTC